GTGGAACAGTTATAAGTCATCACCTCAGGGCCCTGTGTCAATTCCTAACAGTATCCTTAAGTATAATAAAATGATTGCTGTTTTATGCCAATAAGCTGCTGCAGTAGCGTTTTACATCTTTCATACTGGGTTTTTTTTTTTTTTTTTTTTTTTTTTTTTTGTGGATTCCAGGTTTAGTGCAGGGAAAGTAAATTAAGTCTCAAGCTATTTGTTGTTACAAAAAATATGAAAGGGTTAAAAGGCAAATTATAGCATTCAAATACATATGAAACTGGCTTGTAGAAGTTATTACTGATAAAATTTGAGATACATTTAAGTATCTCAAAGAAAAATTACTGAAATTGGTTATAACTCTTGAATATTCAAAATTCTCATCCTCAAAAGTGCTATAAAATAAAACATCCCAGTCTGTATAATCCAAACAATTTTTGTTTTGAAATAATCTTAGATTTATATAATAAGTCACAAAAATAGTACAGAGAATGCCCATGTACCCTTTACCCAGCTTCCTCCAATAACTATAACTTCCTCCATCTCTTATATCTATAGTACAATAATTGAGACCAGGAAATTGACATTAGTACTCTACTACTAACTCAACTATGAACCTTACTGAATTTCATGGTTTTTCCCATGAACTTGCCTTTGTGTTTGTGTATGTGTGTGTATGGTATATTAATTTTACAACATGTATGCACTCATGTAACCATCACCACAATCAGTCATATGCCGAACTACTCAATCATATACAGAACTATTCTATCACCTCCGGAAAACTCCCATACGCTGTCCTTTTATGGTCCCCACATTCCCCTACCCCTCATTGCTAGCCATCACTAGTATGTTCTGCATAGCTGTAATTTAGTCTTTTTGAGTATTGTATAAATTGGATTATACAGTAAGTCAACTTTTTGATTTGGATATTTTTCACACAGGATAATGTCCTTGACATGTAGCCAAGCTGTTGCATTATAAATAATTTCTTTTAACTGCTGTGAAGCACTCCATTGTATGGATGTAACATGTTTGTTTATTCTTTCACTCATCTGAGGACATTTGAGTTGCTTCTACTTTTTTGGCTATTACACATAAAGCTATGATGGACAATTTTGTGCAATGTTTTACTTGAACGGCAAACTTGTTCTTAAAGGGTCATATGTTTAGTATTTTAGGGTTGTGAACCATATGGCCTCTGCCAGAACTATCTACCTTTGCAGTTATAGAGCCAAATAATGATAGACAATACATAAATAAAAAGGTGTGACTCACATCCAATAAAACATTATTAAGAAAATAGAGCGCTAGTTCCTAGGATACAGTTTGCCATCTCCTGCCCTATGATAAACAGTCAGGGATGAGATTACTGGGTTTTATGAAAAGCACTGTTGAGCTCTATAAGAAATTGTCTGTTTTTCATAGTGGCTATGCCATTTTACATCTCCACAAGCAATGCATGAGAGATCCATTGTATTGCATTTTCACCTGCACTTGCTATTACCAGTGTGTTTCATTTAATTCTTTTAAAAGCATTTTATTAGATACATAGTAAATCTCATTGTGGTTTTAATTTGTATTTCCATATTGGTTAATGACATTGAATAACTTTTCCCATGTTTATTTTCCATCGGAATATCTTTTTTGTTAGATCTGTTCAAGGTTTTGGCACCTTTATTAATCGGATTGTTTTATCTGTGTTTAGAGCATTCTTTATGTATTCGGTGTATAAGTCCTCTGTCAAATATGTTATTTGCAACTATTTTTTCCTAATACGTAGCTTATCTTTTCACTCTCATAGAGTGTCTTTCATG